GTACAAACCAGTTTTGTTTTGGCCGGGTTTGCTCGGCTTCCCGTACACAGCTGGAACAGGTGCATATCGCTGAAGAAGAATAGTTTGTTTTCTGTTTGTATCCAGAAGACTTGGGGACAAAAGCTGAATTCCCTAAAAGCATGTGCAAGAAACATAGGAATGTCTCGTACAGGCTTTTGTTCAATCCACAAAGGAGTCAGACAGGGATGCAGAGTTCAGCCCATCACACAAACAAGGCATTTGACTGGGTATGCAAATGAGTAAGTTGGATCCGGAGTGGCTCAAAATGAGACACATGTAACTGTCGCAAAGCATCCGTTAAAGACAAGAGCTTGTGTTGAGATGTATCATGCACAGCCAAAGAGCTGGTGTTGACCTCTCAGCGCGGGTATAGGTCCACCGGAGAGGCCACTGAAACCGCCGTCATGGTAGGTGTTCTGGGTCACCGAACCGGAAAAAAAGACGAGTCTGATCATCTCGGGAGATCTTCTGGGTCACGGCATTGACCGATGAAGCCCATGAGCTTCCCCCAAAATTCCCCGGTCCGTGTCTCCTTCATCCAAAGATCTGATCTTGAAGTCCTCGGTCAGTGCAAAGGTTGTCATGGTTAGGCGTGTTCTGCATCTTTGGATGTGATGACTCGCAAAAGAATAAACAACTTTGAAACGCATGGTCATAAATGTCGTGTTTGCGGATCAAACGGCGAACTCTATTTAGCTACAAACTAAAGAATTGTCTGAACGGCGTTTGGGTCTCACACTACGCCAAATTGGAGGGCTTACAATGTGTCAAAACCGGATCAGCAAGCATCCCCAGATCAAGAGGATTCTCTTGATGTTCTAGATTTACGCGTGTCAGTGATGGCCCTCCTATCTTGGGCAAGTCCTTTCGTGGCTTATTGTCTTGGTACGCAAACTCTTGTTTGTTTACATGTTCTTCATTGCTATAGTCATTGCTACTCAAAACTGTTGCTGGACAAAATAGAAATTATAAAACCTCGAGTCTGATGGTTCCAGACCGGAATGACCGGTCAGATTGCGCGTCTGACTCGAGGGGCTACTTGAAACATCTTCAAGCTGGGATCTACCGTCCTTTTGGCGAGTCTACAGTTGTTGGTCTTGTGAACGACCTGAAAACGACGGTGGACTTGGTCGGTTCGATGACTTAGCTCGGCCACCAATTCTTGCCAAAGTGCCAAAAACTGGAGCTGGTAGACGTTGGAGTCCAGCGAACACAGGAAACCTGCGCTAAGAGCTTCAAGTGAACAAGCCCCAGGTCCAGATGTGTGCAGAATGGCAGCTCTGGTTTCTTCGAATCCACTGGACATCCAGTACAAAACGCTATTAGCTTGGAGACCATCGCTAGTAGGTGTCCTTGCTACTAGGTTCCTTGCCCACTTCTTAGAGCTCAATGGCCGCAAGGACTGCCCAGTGCCCCCCCGTCGCCTGTGGCTGGCCCCGTGAAGAGGTTCACATAGTCCGGTGTGATCGGGACCTGACGATCCGGCGCCGCAACGCAAAGTGGCGCAAAGCACAGGCACCGAGTGGCGTTTTCAGTGAGGCGAAGAAGTTTGTCTCTTTGTGTTGGTGTTTTCTGTCGGCTCTGGATTTGCTCAGGGAAAAGGCATTAAAAATGCATGAACATGCAGAATACCCCAAACAAGGGATCAAAGCGGCTCTCATGGCCTTTTCAGCCTAAGGGGCCCGTCTTTCCAGTTTATTGTAGGCTTCGCGTCTGAAAAAGACTCTGAAGTGGAACTGCAGTCCACTGCTGTTCTCTGTTGATGCCAAACCATGGATTTTCGCGTCTGTAATCAATTCTGCAAACACTGGTTGGCGGAGGCCTTGCGATGGCTTTTGCTGCGTTTTGCAGCATTCAATTGGCTGACCGAAAGGAAGAGGGCCAGACCAAGTGCGCATACTTTGGTCGGACACGTTAGCTGCTACCGACAGGCTGACAAGAGAGAAGAAGTATCGGACGTGCGTCATCGTATCTTTGAAAAGCGTGCCAATCGACAGTCAGCCCACGTAGCAATGGAGGCTTTTGCTTGGCCCTGGCTCTCCTCGATTTGAGAAGCTTGTGGGTGCCTGTTCCACGGGCTCTGCTCTATGCCTAAAGCCACCCACGCACCTCTCTCACCATTTTGAGCTGAAGTTGCGCACATGGTCCGCCGCAGCGCCCCATTCAGCCGGACTGCAAGATGCTGTTCGAGCTCGTGCGAACGTGCTACACGCGAAGCGTAGCATGAGTTTGGCGAGCACAGGGTGCAGAGACGAGATTGAAGCGAGATTTCGTGTTCAAACCAAGGACCAAGGACATTGACAAAGTTCACAATGAGCGTGGGCACACGCTTCATACAGTAAAACTGCTTGCGAATGGGACGGGCATCAGCAAGGACCTGGCTGCCAGGTGGTTCTGCCAGCTGACGCGCTGAGTCGAGGCAAAAGGTCGCCACCAGCTCATGCTTCGGTGTTTCGCTTCAAACGAGGCGTTGAGGAGCGGCACAAACGGCCCCAGACAGCGAAGAGGTTCTCCACTTGGACTTCCTGTTGTGGGAGCCGTGGGCTTGGATGGCACAAAGCTGTTCTGCCATTTCCTCTGCCACTCTGGAAGTCCATCCACTGTCATGACATGCGCCCACATCACTTCTCCCATGGCTTGCATGTGTTGCTCCAGCTGCTTTCAACCCCTTGACTACACACAACACTTTGCCCTGAGCTGTGTCGGCCAACGATTGGTCCAAAAACCGTGTGAATGGTGCGTCACATGGCGCATGGAGCCATCCAAGTGTCGGTTTTCGCAGCTGCAGCATGTTCACCGGAACTGCATGTTCGCTGGGCCTTACCAAGGGATCGTCAACTGCACACAGGGCACCACATGGCGCATTGAGACATCAAGCTGGCTCAACCTGCAAGCTGGCCCCCCCTTTTCGGAGCTGCAGGCCTGTGTTGGAACCGATCCTGACCCGGAACCACCATTGATCTCAATCTCACTTATCTACGCAACTGCTCTTAGGTTGAACAATCTCTTGGTTCCCAAGACACTCATCCCATCCATCCCGACCAGTGGCCAGTGACATTGGGGTGCGATGGACCGACCGAATCCGTCCGATCCACTTGACTCGTGGAGCTGGGCTGTCGGGCATATTCCTCATGCTCCACCTCACCCTCCGCCATGCTGGTTCCTCAGAGGCGCCGAACAAACAAGACATGAAGAACCACCCACGGGACCCGGTGGTGGATGTGGTCCAAAGTGGAAGAACCAGAAGATGGGACGAGGTCCAAGACTCTTTTTCCAGGTTTTGAGGTGTTGATGGCTAACATAAAGTAGCAAGCCTCCAGTGGTGTTTGGTGCCTCGTCCGGGCCGCAACAGGACACCCACCGCCACCGCATTCAAGCACTAATGCTGGTTTGGTCTGTTTTGTGTATATATGATATATATATATATATATATATATGTTTGTGTCTTGAGTCGTATTCCTCTTCCTTGACATCAGGCCTGAAGTATCCTGAAGTACTACCTTGGCCATCCTGGAAAGGATCCACCCTTAGGTGCCGTAGTCAAAGTGATGTTCAACTCGACTCTCAACTCTGGAGACGCCCTATGCCCTGATGAGGGCGCGCAGGTGAAAGGAAGACAAGTTGGGGCATTCGAGGTGCGATGAGTCAGTTCGTGAACATGATGGAAGCAATGGACCCCCTATGTTTGCAAGCATCGTCCTTGTTTCATCTAAAGGCACAAAGAGGAGATGTGTGGGTTCAGTGCCGGTACCCCTTGAAGACCTGATGGTCGCATCCGAACTCCAACTCTCCAAGCTGGGGACCCTCACTGCACTGCCGGTGAAGCTTGGCCTACTTTGCCCTTGAGCTCAAAAGCCCCCGGCAGAAGCTCCGCGCGTTGGTGTACAAGCACGCCCAAGTGATTGCGAAAAATCGAGCTCACGGTCTTCAACAGCGCTTGGAAACCATCGAAGCCTCCAGGTTTTCGGAAATCGGTCACTTTGGGACCGATCATGGCCAATGAATTCGGGGGGGAAGCCGTCCGGAGTGGACGCGCTTCTGAGTCCGTGCTTCTCTGCAAACACGTGCGCGGCCCGTGTTGCTACAGGCAGGACAGGTGGGGGGTCCTCTTGGGAGCTTGGAGCTGGCAGAGTGGCTCCCAATGTTCAAGGACAGGGTGAGTAGAACCTCCACAAAGCAAGTGCAACTTCAAGACTTACAAGGACATTTGTAACATTTGTATACATTTGTAAACATCCTACCGATGTCTACGTGTGGCCACCAATGTGGCCATCCAGCGGCGCAATAAGCCCGAAAGTGACCCGTCAGCGGCCCAAACCCACCACACTGTGTGGTGAAACACAAGCGAATGAGGAAGCGGATGTGAATGCGCATGGTAGGTGGCACTTCCGAACTCCTCTGAGTCATACACCAGAACCTACTAGCGATGGCCTCCACCCTAGTAGCGATGGCCTCCAACCTGCTAGCGAGGGCCTCGGGCCTCCATTCTATTAGCTTCCAACCAGTATTTTGTGGAAAAAAAACACAGCATGCTCTGGCCCGCAAGATACGTGACCCGCTTCACGGATACATGTTGCTTCCGGGTCGTCCGCAACTTGCTACAGTGAACAGGCTGTGAAGTGCTCGGTGTTCCTCGCAAGGGATTCCTGGCTCCGTTTCTTCACTCCTCGTAGAAACGGTGGAGACAAAAGCGTAAAATTGTTGAACCTCGAAACCAAAAGACTGACAAAAAGCCAACCTTGATCGCCTGATGAACAGGTCGCGAAGCCTAAGGAGTAGGCAAGCCTGCCGATGTTGAGATTCGTGGGAAACATCTCCTCCCCAAATCCAGGACATTGAGAATGTTTAGTTTAGGCGCCCTTGCCCAGTTTGTGAGAAAAAGAGTTCTCCATTGGGGCTCTCCTCTGGGGTTCGTTGGGCTATCAGCTGAACCAGGCTCGACGGTCTGACCGACTACACGAAAATCCGGGCGCCCGTGCCCATCATGGAAGATCTGTACCTGACACGCTCACGTCCGAGATCCTCGGTTTTGAGTTTGGCGGTGAAGATCCGCATGGGCAGCTTGAGGACATCTGGGCCGAACGAAGAGTCTCGGATTCGCGCCGATCGGACGCTACAAACGGGGATTCCTTGCAGAACAGATCGGAACAGATCCACAAAAAGAGGAAGTCTTCGAAAACCACCGACCGGTTGAGACAGGGGATCTGTGGAATCGTCTTGGAGCGACTGCTTCAGGGCACCGGGTAGTCGAACTTCTGGTTAAAGTGCCGCCACAGGTTCCGCAGCCTCAGGGGTTGGGCAAAGGCCTTTAAAAATATATATATATATAATTTAAAAAAAAAAAACAAACAAAAAAAACAGATGGGTTTAATACTGGAACATCCATCCATCCAGGTTTATTCCCGGAAGCACCCAATGGGCAACCCATCTCAAGATCTCTCAAGAGTGTTTACAGAATCGTCCAATGGAGTATTTAAGCAACTGAACAGCTCAGGATCTACTGTTCCTTTTCCCAGACTTATGAATTCGGATCCCGCAGTCATTCAAGTACGGAAACAATCTTTTGGCGCCCTGGTCAGTGCATGATGCTTCCTGAAAATGCATGATTCTGCGGGCTGCGTGGGTGCACAGTACAACCCACTCTGTTCGAGGGGCTAAGCCATCTCGTGTTATCAGAAAAATATTACTTTTATGAAAAGCACTTTCCATCTCCAAGTTGCCTCCCCAAGAAATGTTGTTCAACACGTTCACCAAGTTGTCGCCCTTGTTGGGAAAATCATCGTCTACTCGGGACAGGTTGAAAAAGTTTGCACCGCCGCTAAGCCGCTGCGCCGCTACGCTAATTATCGCCTAGAACATCCTGTTTACTCCCATAGGCTTCATACCCGGCTATGCCGTGTCAATTGCACTAGATTTCACTAGATGTTCTTCCATTAGGTGGAGGCCATCGCCATTAGGTTGGAAGCCATTGCTAGTAGGTTGGAGGCCATCGCTTCTAGATTTTCTTTGAGGTACGTGGAATTCGGCTCCAACTGCCGCGCCCAGCGACGAGTGCCGCAACTCTGCCAGGTGGGTTGGGTCCTGCGGAGAAAGAGAGCGGAACAATCAAAGAGCGCCCTTTGAGCTGGCTACTCGGGGCTATCCCTTTTGGTATATCCAGGGTCTTCACATGCATCAATACCGAATACCTTTGGTGTACCGCTTACCTTCGTATGTGTTCTTCAACAGTGAGCCTGGTCAAAATGAATGTCGTCCTCATTGACGATGTATTGGATCGCAGCCGAGTAGTTCCGGCGATGTGTGGTGCCCTCAGGATGCGGATGGGATTTTCTCCACCGTACGAGGGCAGGACATTGGTGATCCAATGATAATGACAAGACCGGATTAATAAACCCGCCCCCCCCCC